ATGAGAAGATAAGTTGATTTTCTATTTAAACATAAAAACAGCATTTTAATAACAGCTAAAAGTGACATAGATACTTTATTATGGTATAGTATTTAAATGTATGTCTGAGAAACACAGAATATTGCCCCTTTAAAATGCATTCACATGAACTGAGACAGCCTTCAGCATGGGGGAGTGATGTAAGCGACCAACAAATGCGGACTTCGAAAGACGCAGGCACGAAGCCCCTGAATTGAGACAGCCTCTGTAAAAAGGTCGATGAGACAAACTCATATATAACTTTACAACCTCGTGTTGACTCATAGAAACACCAAAAATGTCCTATTTCATATTTCAGACTGAAGAAGATTATATCCAGTAATTCGATTTAAGTTTTGATGCATGATAGAGGAGTCCAAATCCATGACTGTGGCTCTTCCACCATCTCAGCTTTCTCCACAGGGAGCCTGCGTGTGGGAGGATACTCTCTCCAAAGCTAGTTACTGTTCAGCCTACATCATGCCAGCTTAATGGTCTATTTATAATGCCTGAGAGCGATGCATTATGGTCCCGAACAATCACAGCTGATGGCTCTCGGTTTGTTGAATTTCCCTTAAACACAAAATGAAAATTAAATGCATACTGTCCATTTACACATGCATTCTCACATCTGCACAACCAAAATGAATCGAAGTTATGAATTTAAAGTGCTTTTACCAGAAAAAAAAATATTAACATGTATAACGTAGAGCCTGTTTTTTACAGGGTGGAGCGGAATCAAGGAACTTAATGAAACTATGAGTATGTGTTTGTTATTGTAATTACAAAAAAGGAGTGATTCGTGTGAGGACGTGGAATCAAATGAGAGAAAAATAAAATAAAAATGAGAAAGATAAAGTCAGTAATAACAACTCTTAGATTAGCTGGTTAATCCCACCTTCATTCATTTCTCTTTCAAACACAGTGCAGAAATACCTGCTCTCTACAAACACTGTTTTTACAGTACAAATGAACCATCTGTAGCACTCTGAAATGCACTGTTTGTATTTTGTGAGATCAATTTAAAATTGGCCAAATGATGAAAATGTGCTCTGAACAAATATCAGATTATTTTATAACCAAAATATTTTGGAATATATTTTTACTTTGCCCTGTCTGTCAATTCAGTACCTAGAT